ATAGTTGCAATTTAGCGAATCAACTCATTGAGTCATCCTCAGACTCGTCAAGTTCTACCATAATTAGAAATGGGAAAAAACGACTCAACTCGTCGAGTTCCTCTATGGACTCGATGAGTTCCTCTTTCTGTTTGGGCCATCTTAACAGATTAAGCGTCTACTCTACAGATCCAAACTCCATTTCTTCTACATACTGTAAATGCCCTCTTAAGGGTAAAGTTTCAAACTTTTCCCGTTAATAGTCCTTCTTAATGGGTTTAGCTCAAACCCTAGTTCTTTAGGACATAGATCTTTGTCCAAAAGCCATCATACTCCAAACCAAAGCATACTAACATAGATCTAGGCCTTAGACATCATTTGAACACGTAAATCTCCTAACTTTCCTTCCATACACGACCTTTTGGGCTTAAAATGCCAAAATAACACCTTAGAGCTTGCATGGGGGCTCTAATGGCATAAAGTTTGCGTCTTTATGCCATAAAAACCCTTAATGATTCTAGATCTGCAAGGATCCTTTCTTGGGACGTCCAAATCCCATAGGTTAAGTTTCTTGGACCTAAAAACCCAACAAAGTGAAAATAAGAAGATCTAAGAAACTATTAGACAAGTTAGAGACTTGATTACCATAAAATGAAGAGGATGAGATGTTGCTTCTGGATCTAGAATCTTCTCCTAGAGTCCTCTAGCTTCTTCTTCTTCTACAAGCTTTAAATCACACAAAGATCACTCAAAAAACGGCTTATAAACTCACACAAGGCTCTAGGGTTTCATGGATTAGGGTTTGGGACATGGAGGCTGGAAATGAGGCCATAAAGTGGGGATTACGATGCTTAAATAGGATGTAAAACCCCGTAATTAGGGTTTCACTCTGGCAGACCTACTGGCCGTGTTAAGGGCTCTCAACTCGTCGAGTGGATTGCTAAAAATCCCGCGGCCAATTTCATTTCTACTCGACGAATCTGGGGCTCCCAACTCGTCGAGTAGCTCTATAAAAATGAATAAGTTATAATTAAATACGTACTAGGAACCAGGCGTTACATTTTAGGCAAGGGTGAATTGTTAGAAGCGTAGGGCTTCTCGTCATCTTTCCATGGATATAATCTTCGTTGGAAATGGACTTAGAATGAGGGAGTTATGGTACTTTAAAGGTTTTGGCAGAATTAGCCCCTAATGGAAATACTTGGCAGATCAGTCCCATGCATGCTAGGACGCATGCACGTGTTTAGCTGGGTACGCCCAATGTTTAAAGTTGAATGGTTGCGGGTGGTTTGTGAGTACACCGGGCATACAAAGTGGTCCACAGGGCGTACTCCCTTTAGACCAAAACCCTAATTTCAGGGTTCCTACCCTATATAAGCAACATTATACCACTCCTTAGGTCATTTGAAGTCAAACACCACCCCTTCTTACGTCCATAAAACCCTAGATTGCCTTGGATGAATCTTGGAGCTTGAAATAAGACTTTTGGTGGTTTGTTCAAGAGGAGAAGGAGGTGAAAGACTCAACCTCTAGAGAAGAACTTAGAGATCCAGTGTTTATATCTCCATTTCGAGACTCTCAAGGTATAAAAACTCTATCTTGGCTTTTCATTTCTAGGGTTGTTTTAGGGACTCAAACTAGTAGATTTAGACATTTTAAGGCCCTCTCTCTCTCTCTCATAAAGGTGCAAGCTTTGTGGATATTGTGAGTTCAATCATAAATTAAGACCATCCATTAAGTTCTTTTGAGCTCTAGAGTCCCATTAAGCCATGCATGTTAGTAAAGTTTCCAACTTTACTTGAAAAGTCACCTTTAAGAGTCAGACTGGAGAGTTGGAGCAAGGGCTGGGCGTACCCAACTGGTACGCTGCACGTACTGGCCCCAAGGGGTGTACGCTGGGCGTACTCGACCACATTGGACTTTCTTGGATTGTTGACTTTTTGGGCCTTGGACCTTGACCAGGAGTTGACTAGGGTTGACCATTCAATATTTTAGGCCTTTTTGGATATTGAGCCTTCTTGAGTTAGGTCCATTATAGATTGGGCCTTATTGGGCATTGTGGGCCATTTCGGGTTTGGGTTATTATTTGGGTTGTGGATTGTTGGACCGACTAAGGAGGTATGTTTGGATTGGGAGTATGTTATTAGGCTTTAGGGTAAGGTTCATGCAAGGGTTTGGGCCAAATTTGGAAAATTAGGCCATTAGTGGGCCTTTATGGATTTTGGAGTTTTGGGCTTGGGCCTTAGTTATGAATCTTGTTGGGCTAGGGGTAAAATGGTCATTTTACCCTAAGTATGGATTATGGATCATAGGTTGGGCCCCAATTGCTAATTTGGTGATATTTTGGTATTGATAGCTTGAGGTGTTGCAAGGGCAGCAACTAAGGATTTCTTGCGAGGAACTTCAATAGTGTGAGGTGAGTTACCTTCCTTGTATGAGTGGGTCGAAGACACCAATGCCGACGCACTAGTAGTTGTATATAAAATAGATGATTCACATGTGAATTACATATGATTCACATGTAATTCACATATAAATCATATATAAATCACATGTAATTCACATATGAATCACATGTGATTCACATGTAAGTCATAAGTGAATCACATATGAATTACATGTAATTTACACATGTAAACCACGTATGAATCTTAAAAGAAATAATAACATGTGAATATCATATTATACAACCACATGTGAATTTTACATTATATATACATATGTATTTTTGTGAATGTTCTTGTATTAATCAATTTATTTTTAAAAAGTTTCTTGTAGATTGGAAGATTTTGTGGAAAATATTGAAGAGATGAAAAGTAATAAATTGAAGAGAAAATATGAAAATCTTGATACGAAAACATGAAAATGATTTTAAAATATGTAGCTTTTTTTTGTTTTTTATATTTTATTTGTATCTTTAAAATACTTGGACTATTGTGTTTATAGATTAGTAAATAAAAATAAGTTTTTTTTTGTATGATTTACTTAAAAATATTATAGTATAACAAATATGCATATATGCACTTAAATGTTGATTTTTTTGTTAAAAAAATTATTGTTTTTTTTTTTAAATATTCAAGATTTTTTTATTGATTTTTTAAAATTTATTGTTTTTAAAGATTGCAGTTTTTATTTTTCAAAAAAAAGAGGGAGTTTTCAATTTTTTTAAAACTTCATGTTTTCAAAAAAAATTTAAAAAATCTGTATATTTTTAAAACTTCGAAAATTATTATTTTTTAAAAAATTCCGAAAATTTAATTTATTATGATAATTTTTAGACATTTTTATTAATATTTCAAATAACCCAAAAAATCAAACATTAAATAAGATTGGTAAGATGACGATGATGCCCTTAATAGGTTAATTTTGATCTGACGCTCCACATTTAGTTATCGGTAAACTTTGAGTTCTCAACGGATATATATATATATATATATATATATATATATATATATATATATATATATATATATATATATATATATATATATATATATATATATATATATATAGGTTCAGGTTCATTTGAGACCATTCTAATTTTGTGAGACCGTGAAACCAAATCTAAAAATAATTTTAAAATGCAAAATAAATGGAAAAATTCAAAAATTCTTTTTTTAAATATTATTTTCGGAACTTGAGTTAACTAAAAAAAAATAAAAAAAATAAAAAAAAATCCCGTTTTTTTTTTTTTTTTTTGAAAAATACGTGAAATATTCTAAATAGAATATTACACCGATATATTCTAAAAAATAATTTTAAAATGCAAAATAAATAGAAAAATCTAAAAATTCTTTTTTAAAATATTATTTTCGGAACTTGAATTAACTAAAAAAATAAAAAAAAAAATTAAAAAAAATTCTATTTTTTTTTGAAAAATACGTGAAATATTCTAAATAGAATATTACACTGTACATAGTTTAAAAATAATTTTAAAATGCAAAATAAATGGAAAAATCAAAAAATTTTGTTTTTAAATATTATTTTTGGAACTTGAATTAACTAAAAAAAATTAAAAAAAAATAAAAAAAATAAAAAAATGCGTCTCACGGTCTCACAAAATTAGGCCGTCTCACATGAACCTAACCTTATATATATATATATATATATATATATATATATATATATATATATATATATATATATATATATATATATATATAGTGTGATGCGTCTATATATGCACTAATTAACATTGTATTCATAAACATTTTTTATATTAAGGTGATGGTTTTTGAGTTGTTTATCTCATTGCGTACGGAAAAAGGTTAACCGGTTTCAAAGGATTGCTGAATTGGTCTCAAGGTTCCTTAGAAACATGAATTTCTTTGTGTTGAATACCAAAGATTAATCCGTCACTCCGAAATCCAAAAACAAGCAACCAAAAGTCTAAAATCATTGAAAATAAAGGGTACCAACTTCTCAAAGTCGGTTAGCTATAGTATCTCCACCTTGGATTTTATTAACATTATCTAATATGAACACATTAGATGTATCATCCAACTGGATTGCAATAAATAATAGATAAGATTATGAAGGATTTTGGAGATAAGATATGTTTGCTGTTCTATTCGTTCTTACGTACATCCAGGACAAAAATATCAAACACGAATATACCCAAATGACTGCAATTGCCTTTGTTTTGTTTTCTAGCTTGGATAGGAGATCCTTAAACATCAAAGATGAGTTGGGTTGGAACTTCTTTTATTAGAACTCTCTAATGGTTACAACAACTCTCATGGGTTGGAAAGTTAAGTTCTTCCCCTTTATATGGGAAATAATCAATGATCTATAAGAAAATATAATACTGTACACATACAAGATGGGTGTGTTTTGATCCTCCTTGCATCTCTAATTTACTTGTAATCATGTTTATAATATACCTTTGCTTCACAAATTTATTAAATCTGATATTTATGCTTCTTTTACATCATGAAATGATCAATCTATACAGTTATATCCAACGAAGTTCCAGGAGTACTTAGCTAAATTATTCACAAAATAAATGTTTTCTCTTTCCTTTATCTTTTATATCTCCAACAAGAAACTCTTACCAATGGAGTTCCTCTCCATTCCAAGACCATTTCATTCCCATTTTTTCCTTCAACCCTAATATTATATGAACTCTGACTTTCCTTTACCATTTCTTTAGCTTCAACCACACTCTCTTTGCTCAGCCTCCACCCCATTAACCCAAGATTTTCTTTGAATTCACCTTCTTCCCTGATATTCTCCCACTTTTGATGCCAAGAGAGAGATGAAACATATGGTGCAACGAAAAGCGACTCCATGGCTATTCTTGCTTCTGTAAGGTTCTCTGGAAAGTTTTGTTCCATTGACTCATAGAGCGCATGATAATGCGTTAAGTATTTACCGAAGAATGAACTGTAATTGCCACAATATTTTGTTCTTTCAACATCTTCTCCATCACCAAAGATTATAATTCCTTCCCTCATCAATAATAGTTGTTTTGCCACCCTTTGAAACTCCATCACTTCACATCTATTCCTTGTCCTTCCCATGTGTGGTAGTCCAACCATACAATTGAAGGCCAAGAATTCATACTCTTGTGATCCTTCAATCTCTTTCATCAAATCCTCAATCGTCATCTCTTGGACCTTTAACTTTAACTTGGAAGCACTTGCACAATTCAGAAGCCGAATTTTTGTCTCCTCAAAACTGTGACTTTGCTCTTTAGTTCTAATGGATGTCAACTTAGTGTCTTTTCCTAGCTTTCCAATAGCCTCGAACATTGCAGACCACTGAACACCCTCACCCATGTCAAAATCTATGATGTGTATCTTCCGTGAATTGCTCATGATTGCTTCAAGAATAGCTGAATTGGCTACAAAATGAGAAAACCTCCCGTAGGGGAAAATTTCGTAGAAAGCTTTAAATGCTACATTGAAATTCTTCATTGACTCGTGTTTTATGTAGTCACCTTGAGTTCCCGAATGAAAAAGGTTGAATGCAACACGTTCCATGGATCCACCAAGTGGGCTAGCTTTCTCGTTTATGCATCCAATAATCACGTTTGCTAGTTCTCTTTGTCTCATCTCCACAGCTTCTCCATAAGCATTGAGTAGATGATAAAGGCTTGTTTCACCTTCAACTTCAACTTCCATGTCATCGGGTGGCATTAACATCATTGTGGTGTCACTGGATTTTATAAATGGACTACCAAAGACACCTACGTTGTCCATGGAAGTACCTTCTGAGGAAATATTGTCCATTTCTTCACTTTCACCCCACCATTTCAATACATCTTCAAGTTCATTGCCTGAAATACCTTCAATCCCTAGGACATGTTGCGAAATATTCTCGATAGGAACCAATACTTGCATATCGTCATCCAAATTAGATAAAGTGCTAAAGTTGCAAGAGGACATGGTCTGAAAGTACGATTCTGAGGAGATCATGGAGTTCTCTGGGGAGGTGATAGAGGAGTAGAAGTCATGTACATCACAAGGAGAAGAAGCCATTTTCGGACTATATAATCCAGCTTGATGAAAGTCATGTTCAAGAAATGATTGAAGCTCTTCTGGCTGCATCGTTTTCTTGATAATATTTAATTAAGTGTGCGTCTCTGATTTTGAAGATGGGGTGGAACTCCTTTGCGGGTATAACATATATAAAGATTGATGATGTGAATGTCGACAACTTTAAAGATAATGATTCATGTTTGTCTCAAAGAAAATATATAATCAATTTGTAAATTTCACTCTCATTCATAATTTTTATTACTTCACTACTGGTTAAACCTATCGACCATTAGAGATGTTGATATTTTAGAGTTATTAAAGGCCAAATGTAGTGATATTAAACATATAAAACAAGAGTTATATCAATTTCAGCTGCTTTCATCTTCTTCTGTTTTTCCATTAAGGTTCCCAATTGAAAACCTCTTCTTTTCTTGGAAGTTTCTTGGAAGTAGGTGAGCTGTATACTTCAAATATAATTTAATCAATAATCTCATTAGTTTTATATGGATGTCTATTCATGTAAATTTCTTATTCACGATAAAAATTCAACTTCAGGGTATACCTTGAAATTTCCGGTCGAATCGGGTCCACTCGTTTGAGAGAGACCTAAATGTTGAAATTACAGTCTTCCTTAACCCTTGTGTATTGTGATATCATGGTTTGTAGTTTACTGCTCCTAAAAATATGGAAAATAAATGCATATAAATATGTTAATATATTTTATTTATTTATGGTTGTATACTTCTATTTTGGACTTTTGGAGGGTATTTGAGAGTCCTTAATGATAATTACTTTTGAACTTATTAGCTTATTAATTTATAATGGTATCAAAACAAAACTTTTAAAAAGTGTTTGAAAGCTTTTGATAAGTTAGTAATGATTAACTTATAAAATGACTTATCTACGAGTGGAACCGTTATAAGCAATTTTTGAGGAAGTACCCATCCAAACGCTAGATTTAGCTTATACTAGAAGAATAAATATCTATCACTTTTAAGAAAGCTTTGCCACTTCTCTTGGTAGTGTTATCGAACGGAAGAATAAAGATCTATATGTGAAGATTATTTAAGAAATTTGGTAGACCTTCCGAGTTAAAAAAAAATTTAAAGACCAAATTACTGCAAATTACTTCAAACCATAAGGAGCATTCGTATAATTTACTCTAGATAAAACCATTTTTTTTAGATCTAGGGTATGGTCACATTTTACCTTTCGTTTTTATATGATACCTGTTTTTTATGTGACACCCGGATGCTATCTCATTTCCCATCACTCTCACCCATTCTTCAAAAACAAGGAAATGGTCATATTTCATTTTACCTCATTTTTTTTTTTTGTTGAAATAAAATTACTAAAATTTAATAAATAAATGCAATTATTAATAAATAGTTAATAAGCACAAAACTAACAAAATAGAAGTATTTTATTGGTTAATAAATAAAATTACCTAATCAAAATAAGAAAACATAATTAAAATCTAACAATAATCAAAATACTAAATAACTTCGAATCCTCAACGAGGAAATACAAATCTTCATCTAAATCATCAAACAAATTATCGCTCGATGACGACGACATTGTGCTCGAATAAATTTGTGAGAGAAAATACTTAAAATGTTGTGAGAGTAGAGGTTAAAATTGTTAATATTTATAGAGTGGTAAAAAAGTTCTATTAATTTATTTCTTGGTCATTGGTATAAAAAAATGATTCTATTGAAAATGTAGCCAGAGAGAGAGAGAGAGAGAGAGAGAGAGAGAGAGAGAGAGAGAGAGAGAGAGAGAGAGAGAGAGAGAGAGAGAGAGAGAGAGAGAGAGAGAGAGAGCCCCGTTCGTTATTTTACCGCACCCAGGATGTGGTGTTCCTGGTGCGCTAAACTGCTAATGTTATCACTATCACATATTGTGATGCATGTATACCTTGTAGCCTAAGTGGTTCATTTTAAGAATTAAATATTTTATGCTTAGGTAATGCCATTACTTGTCAATTTTTTAACACTTTGAAAAAAGTTATATGATTGGTAAAATTGTATAACAAAATATTTGAAACTGTATTGAAAATTAAACTTAGACATAGTTGTACAAGCAGTTTTGTCCATATCTCGTAAGTTTCGAACGAAACAACTTGAAGGCATAAAAGGAAAACTATTTTGAGTTGATTTTCCAAACGACTTGAACTAATTATTGCGGGGCCAAGACGTAAAAACTTGGAGCTTTCAGGGGCAACACAGATGGATCTGATAACTTGAACTTAACCTCATGGGCCCTAGTTGAAATAGTTTTGACCCATATGCTGATTAAAACATCATTAATTTTGGTTCTTTTAAGTCCTTTTGTAAGTGTTTATGCTTTTTTGCTCATTAGTTATTATAAATAATAAGTCAACCTTGAAAAGTGACACAAAATTAGACTCCTTTGTTCTATTTTAGTAACATAGTGATTGTTCGTGATTTAAGTTTATGTGACATCCCATTTTTCAAACCAAATTATCATTTTTAAATTAGAATAAATACTCATTTTTCATAAATTTATAATCAAGACAAAACCAGAGTTATAAAGAAAAGCATCGCGAAATCTCAAACCATAAAACTGCTGATATGTATGTATAGTTACATCGTAACTCTTGTCTTCTCATATCTAAAGAAGTACCTGAAAGCATGTATACCTTTCAACCTAAGTGGTTCATTTTAGGAATTAAATATTTTATGTGAGGTCATTCCATTACATTTTAGTTTTTTAACACTCCGGAAAAAGTTGTATGATTGATAACATTGTATAACAAAATATTTGACAATGTGTTGAAAATTAAACTCAAGAGGTTTTGTCAAAATCTCGTAAGCTTTGTACGAAACAACTTAAAGGAATTTAGGGAAAACTATTTTGATTTGATTGTCCAAACGACTTGAACTAATTCTTGCGGGGCCAAGGCGAAATAACTTGAAGCTTTCTGGGGCAACACTGATGGATCTGATAACTTGAACTCAACCTCATGCACCCAAATTGAAATAGTTTTGACCCCTTAGCTGGTTAAAACATCATTAATTTTGGTTCCTCTGAGTCATTTTGTAAGTGTTTATGCTTCTTTACTCATTAGTTATTATCGATTATAAGTCATCCTTGAAAAGTGACAAAAAATTGGAATCCTTTGTACTAATTTAGTAACATAATGATTATTTGTGATTTAAGTATATGTAACGTCCCATTTTTCAAACTAAATTCTTGTTTTTAAATTAGAATAAATACTCATTTTTCATAAATTTATAATCAAGACAAAATCAGAGTTATAAAGAAAAGAATCGTGAAATCTCAAACCATAAAACTACTGATGTGTGTGTACAGTTACACCCATGTCTTATCATATCTGAAGAAGTACCTGAAAGCCATTAATCCATAATCGTAAGTCAAATCTTAGCGAGATCCAAAAAATATCACATACAACACAAATAACCAATTATAACATTAATGTGTCTGTTTTAACCCAACATGCATGTTTCAACCGAACGGGTATTTTTCAACCCAACATGTCTATTCTAACTGCACGAGTATGTTTCACCCCTACATGTCTACTTCAATCGAACAAGTATGTTTCAACACAACATGTCTATTTCTACCAGATGAAGAATGTAAACTTACAAGCAACAAGCAAGACCTTATGTAATGCCCCTGTTTCTGGCTAAGCATTAGTATGATGATGTAACCTATTTAGAAGTAATAAAGAAGAATAATTTGAGTATTATGTGATTTATGTGATTTTATGTGCATTATACTTATTTATGACGACGTAATAAAATAGTAATAAAAATAAGCGTAAAAAATAAACTAATAGATAGACCTAATATCTTTGAAGAAAGTTGAAGTAGTCGTAACAAGGATTGCGGGGATATAAGGAACACTGAAATCCGACTTATAACGAAGAAGTTATGACATGTTGAAGTTTTGTGGCAAAACTGATACGATATCGGAAATCGTAAAAAGTGAGTTTGTGATAACTTACTCTTTAGCCTTATCGATCTAAATGAAAGCTGCAGTATACATTAAATCGAGAGCGTGCATAAATAGAATGTCAAAATATGACTTCGTATGAGGAAGTTATGATTTTTCTAAGATTTAGCATAGCAATGCACAACCCGAAAATCGAATTTTAGATCGACCAATTTTTAGCCGACACAATGTAAACGAGAATCGAAGATCTCATTAATAAGAGCTCAACGATATAAAAGAAGATGAAAAAACATCGAATGACAACGTTATGAATTTTTAATGGATTTTAACTGTCTAAGTTTGTTAAAATATAACTTTAAAAATAAATTCAAAATTAGCTGACGGAGTCTAAACGAAAGTTATAGAGTACGTCACCCACCAATGCGTGGATATAAGAAACGTCAAAAATGAAGCTCGTATGCGAAATTTATGGAATTTAGAAGTCGAGAATAGGTTGATGCGAGGAGGGTGACGTGGCCGAGTCCTAATCCTTGCTTGCTCCCCACGGTCTTTGCTTCGGATGCTAACAGTTGGCCTTCATACGCACAATGTAACCCTTCGGAAGCCCCGAGTACTGAGTACGCCTAGCGTACATCGAAGGTACATGCCCCACACTTGCATCCAACCTACTATAAATAGGTGCGAGGTTTCTCCCATTTCTTTACACCTTAACCTTTCTTTCTCTCTCACCACTCCCAATATCTCCCCCTTACCTAGTAATTCCTAAGTGCTAGAGGCGAGTCCCAGAGCGCTAGAAGGCTCCGAGAAGAAGAGCTTTCAGCTTGGAAGTTCTGACCCTGCAGAGCCCGGTTCCTAGCCAAACCCTCTTATAAGTAAGTTATGCTTACCCTGCTTTAAGTAAAGCTTATGTTTAAGTTTAATATCGTTATTATGAACCTATAATCAATATATGTATTATAAAATATACTATATAGAGTGTTATTATAATATATTTTAACTACTCGCGGTATGGAGAATCTGGTTTGAAGGGTCGCATAAGGTTGTTGGATTTCAGAAGTGCTTATATGCCAAAATGGTCCTACCCTCCGGTGTTTCATGTCTGGACCCTGTCTATACATAGTGGTTGTAAA